ATTTAGAACTCCTTTCTTTGTCAATCTTGGCGAAAGTTGGAGTAAGATCGAAATTCTGACAGAGTCGCAGAAATTCAATTGAACCATCGCAGTTGGTCTGTTTCTTGCTGCACTGTTCAAGTCTCCTGAACAAGTGCAGTTGATTATCGCGTTTCAAAATTCGTATTAAAAGAGATTTCTTAAAAGATAAAACGGTAAAAACGAACGATAAAATCCGACGTTTCGGAGTAGTCATGACTCCATTATCAAGGTAAAAGTTTAAAACATGCAAATAACAGTATTTAAGCGATGTGGCGCGAAAAATTAACATAATAGGTACGAAGATTATACAAATACTTTCGCACGAATAGAGTCCGATTGCATGTTCAGGTTTGGCTTAAAAGTTCTTATATGAAGCATTTCGTACAATAAGCAGTCAAATTTGAAGTAATGCAGTTCGGAAGACATTGGAACCTTTTGTTTTTTAATGTTTTCTTTTCTTTCTATGATAATACAACCGCACTAATTTCGTTTTAGGAATTCTAGAAGGTTCTCTGTTTCTCTTCCTGCGATGGGATTGCTGCAACGGTGTTCTCTGGACTGAGCAACCAACATGCCTTTAAATACTCTGTTCTTCTGGGCGCTTAAATTACATGGAAGCACACATTTACTTTCCAAAGGAACAGAACTATACTTTCTTAGCAATAGTGGCAATGCTAAGATAATAATTGGACTCCATTTTGTTGGCCGTGATAATTTTTGTTTAGGCACTGCGTTTGGTTGAATAATTACAAGCTTAGCTGATCTGAATTCTGACATTTGTGGTGCCCAAACTGAGTCAAATTTTGGGAAAACTGTACTCCATTTTGTTACCCGTGATAGTTCTAGTTTAGGCTCTGCGTTTGGTTGAATTTGTGGTGACCAAACCGGGTCAAATTTTGGCAAAACTGTGCCGTCGTTTGATTTGACTCGTTTGCATGGTGACCAAACTGGGTCAAGAGGCCAAAAAGTCAGTTTGCCTTTTGCGCTTTGAGATAAACGCGACATCTGCGGCAGGAGGCTTGGAAAACTTCACCATGCTTTCCATACAGACAGTGTTTTATTCTTCAGCTCCGTGATCGTGAAGCGAAACATGTCAAACGGCTCCTTCAAAAAGTGAAAGTGGTTTACAAGAAGTTTTAACCGCCCAGAACAGTAATCAGTATTAAATATAACATAGCTAACCTTACCTTCACAGCTACAAAAATTCAAATCTCCAGCAAATGGTCCAATTGCGCTAAAAATCTCCTACAGCTACAAAAACTCCAAATCCACTCGACACTCGCCTCAACAACGTCAGCAAAACATTCTTCGATCTTCCATACAATACAATACAAACTTTATTGACACTCCCTAAGAGGGCTTTTCAGTGACA